GATCCGGATTTTATGCGCATAAAATTTATTAATGCTAATATAATTTTTAACCAAGTGAAAAAATTCTGATTACACCTGTAGTATAGTAAAAGACCGAAAGTTGCTGGCAAACTTTTCCCATTAATTACTTCCATACATGGGGTGTGTGATAGACTTACCTCCACGTGGTGCACCCTGGTCAACGTATACTCATACGGCAAAAAAGTCTATTATTCGGCAGTTGACTTCCGACTTCAAAACACCATCACCTCACTGTATGTCATATACGACTACTTCCACAGTACTCACCTCGTCTTTTTCACTTTACCTTTGTGTCTCTTTAACATCTTTGAAATACTCTTCTGTTCCCCTCCCCCTACTCTTCTGTTCCCCCCCCCCCTCCCCCTCTCGACTTTTTTCACTTTGATGTTCTTTCTTCTCTGTGAAGCCTGAAGTCAACTAAAGGGCAAATGATAACCATTCTGTGAAGCCTGAAGTCAACTAAAGGGCTTATGATAACTATCAAAATGCCTGCCATTTGATATAAATAAATAAATGCTTCCATACATTCAATTTGGCAATGTAAAAAGGCACAAATATTATTTACGAAATGGTGAAAAGTTGAAAGGTGGAATTTTGAATTTAAATATGATATTTGCCAAAGATGGGGTGCGCAATAGATTTTCTTCCGCTTAGTGCATCTGAACAACGCAAAATAACTCTATAAACCGGTAGTTGACTTCTTACTTCAAATTGCATTGAACCAGCTACCAAAGTACTAGCCTTTCCTTTTCTCCACCTTTGTGTCTGTCTCTTTTACACCTATGAAATATTCTTCTGTTCCTCATCACGAATTTTAATGTTCCTCCCTACTGTGAAGCTTAAAGCCAACTAAAGGGCTAATGATAACTGTCATAAAGCCTGCCATTTGATATAACTAAATATTTGACACATATTTCCACAGGAGACGTTTGGTTTCAAAATTTTTTCATCTGCTGTGGTCACAATGATGTATACCTCTTCCACAGAACTACAAAGATTAACTCATTTGGATTTTGAAGAAGTGCCTCACTTAATTTATTAAAGTACCGTTAATAAAGCATTGGGGCTGCTTTAAATCTACCTTTGTCCTCTTTGTCGGTGGGACTTGAGAGGCGAGTTCTATCAAATGTTTATTTCCCATGGCACATGGTACGACCTTGCACTGGATATTGATTTTTGTCGTAAAAGTGAACAGAATTCATCGTTTCTAAGTTAACTACCAACTAGTTTGAACACAACTCAAACGGAGAATAAACGGATTTCTAATTTTAAGGGGCCATGAAAACCCACATGCGGATATTGGGTGGTTCCATAGAGCAACGAAAACAAATACCCATTATCAACACCCCCAAAAGCAGAAAATTTTGATTAGTAATTTCTTCCAAATTTCAGGATTATAAAATCTAGAATTCCATAATAAAGGTATCTTTTCACTTTTAGTCATACAAAAAATTTGGTTGTAATTCCATGTCATAAACGAAGAAAAATATATATATTTGTATGAAAAAAGTCTTTAGCACATGTAATATTTGGCCTCACCTCGTAATGAATTAAGTGTATAAGTCTATGTGTTAAATGATTTGTTATCAATAATTTAATGAATTTTTCCTAATTTTAATTTGTGTCAAATGGAAATCGAAAGAGCTTCGCTTTATACACGAATAGACATTTCGTGGTTGTCTTAAGAGGTAAATGTCCGGAAATCAAGTTGGTCAAAATTAAAAATCTCAATAAAATATTTAATTTCAATGTGGGCCTTCTCAACGTAGTTACAATTGGCCATTGCCAGAATGATGACGGACTGTTTTAGTCAAGTTGTCAATAGTCAGAGCTGCTGTAAATTAGTGGGGAAGGTGGGGGGATGGGAGGTAAAATAAGGCCATTAAAAGCCACAACGCACTCCACCCCCCATTTTAAGCCCTATCGTCGCCATACATTTGCAATGTGACTTAAAAGTTTATATACCAAATCATCATAAATATTTTTAGCCCAACTTTGAAGTATAAATACTATTTGCATATTTTGGAAAGACCAAATTAATTCACCTTTGGTAAAGTAAGATTCTTTAGCAGTGCTGTACTATTAGGAATCCCAGTTCCTTACACTCTAATCTATCTTGTAACCTTATCACGACAATGAAGTTACTCCATAGTGCCTTGTTAACAAAACAAAGACATTTTGCGGAACTAAAAAACTTGAAGACACAGCCAGACAGATAACGATTTTAGACGCTATCGGCTTCTAGCTGTCATGATCGAGTCATGTCGACAAGGGGTATGGACGACTCGGTGAAAATCAGGGTGACTTTATCGTACCTAAACAAAGAAAACGCCTCAACCCTGAGATTTTGTCGGCTCCTAAAAAGATTCATCTGCCAACGACGATGGTAAAATCAGAAACGGAATACTGACAAGTGATTGTAAGTATTAACTCGTAATTTCGTTCAATCGATCTAATAAACTTGCTAATCAAGTACGGGACCTACACTGTAAGTCGTTATCGCATCAGTGTTAGTAACAACTTACATCATTTGATGTCAAGTCCATCAGAAGTATCTTGGCTTACTCATTCGATGTGGTTCAGATTCACATTGTATTAATGCTGATGCTTGTAAGACCTGGAAACTGATAGAAGGGATTTGCGTTCGATTTAACCAATTTAATTATAAAATATTGTAGTTCGAAATGCTTGGTTTACTTTACCTCAAGAAAACTAAATATCAGGGTACTAAGGGAAATATATCTATATGTAAACTAACATCAAAGAACAGTTAATTTAAACGGATATCACTTTCAATTCCATCAATGAATTTGCACCACAAGCCTCCATTTTTTATTACGACTGGTTTCCCATCGGAAGATGACAAAGTGGTTTGTAAAACAACACATGCGCTTTGCCATAACAACGGTTGTTTGTACATTTCCTCCAGGCTTGAAGTTAATTTAATATCTCCGGTTACCACGCTTATGCTCTATTGAAATGACTGAACACTTAGAACTGAATATCTTAGCCAGAAGATTAACTATGACATTTGACTTTTGGAACGCGAACTATCAAATGCATTATTCGAATGTTCTCTCCCTCCCAATGGCTGAATTATTTTAGGTGTAATTTACAAATAGAAAACGTACGATTATTTTATATATATATATATATATATATATATATATATATCTGATTTATAATAATAGGAAAGAAGCATTAGGAAATGTTACAGATATGGCAACATAACGGACAAAATGGGAATAACAAGCTCAACTAAGATCAAGATGAAACAAATCTGTGAAATTCAGAATAGGCAACACTTAACTTTTGAATGCTGGATTGTTAACTTAAAACCACCTACATAACTCCTCTCAATGGTATGTCATTTGATTTTGATGATGTATGAATTCAGGAAGTTCCAGTTAGAACCGATTTGCTAACCCTTAGGAATCTCGACGCAAATCTTAAATTTTGCTCGTATATTGAGCCCAATATATTAAATTATTCAAGTCAGCCTTTGTGTGAAGGAATAATTCCTATGAGTTCATAACTGACAGAATAATAACCCTGGAATCTTGTTCGTTATTTTGTCAAAGTCATTTTAATTAGTCACTATATCTCGGGTGGATTCGATATTGTGAACTTTTAATCTAGTAGCATGAATTTTAGACATCTGAAAAACCGAAAAAAGGAAAATTAAATAGATGCCTGCTTTCTCAGGAATTTTATGTTAAGTCTTGCGTTTTCTCACAGAATTCAAAGTGTTTGATTATTTTATTTTCTATGAAGAAATAGCAGCACTGTATGCAACTAAATATAAATATAAATGTAAATATATTCATCCCCAAACGTAACGATAAAAATCGTACTGGAACGAATACTGATTTAGAAATCAGCAATTATACATTTTGTGAATAGAGAGGAAGAGGAGGTCTAAAGTGGGGGGGGGGGTTCTAATAGCTAGCATGGGTCTCAAACTGATTTTTTAGATAATAAATTGCAATGCCGTTAATTTAGATTTTAGTGCATAGTTAAACAGGTGGATTAACTTGTTTTTTTCTTACAAATTTGCTTTTGTACGTATTTTCTGCCTAAGCAACTCCTTTGTTAGAGAGATTTAGAGAGCCCATAGCGGAATGATATTCAATCTCAATTGTTTAAGAAGCAACGCTGTAATAAGATATCATTTGATCTTCATAAACATATAAACGACCAAGTGAATGAAGTGTGAAGTCAAATGTTATCGTACCAAAAGTTATATTCAAATAGAATCCCCACGTTTGCAATTTTCAAATAGGCAAAGATTAATCTTAGTTCTGCAATAGTGCCTAAAAGAATTTTCGGGTATTAGATAAATGAATTATACATTGATTATGATGTCTAATAAGGAAAATTTCCAGAAGATATTGGGCTAATAAAATCTAGATTGCCATTAATAATTCATGCAGTATTGGATAATTGACAATAATCCATGGCATAATGGCGAAAACACAATTGTATGAAACTGCATTTATATTTCGTAAATTGCAAAATAGTTTGTTTTTGAAAATTGAATAAAATGGATGCAATTAAATATAAGCATATGCGTAATATTTGATTACAATAAGCCATAAAATTCTAAATATTCAAAAGAGAAAAATTTGAAGATAACATAGTAAAATAAGTAGTTAACTTTTAAAATATTTACATTAATAATTATTAATTTTGCGTGTTTAACGTTTTCAAGTTAATTTAAGGTTAAGGTTAGCGAAAAATCAAATTTCTGAGGGGAACATGTCTATAACTCGAAGTGGTTATTTATGGCAATCCGCCAATAAAGTAAAAACAATATTAATAAATGCACCATAATACGTTTTTTTCAAAATTATGCTTTGGAAATTTTACTTTTAGGAGGCTAAACATTCAGCATCTGACTGGATAGCAGTAAATCTCCAAATATCCGGAAGGCCTAGTAAACTCGTACTTATCATAGAACCGTCCGACCCAATATATGAAACTGTTGATGAAGATGACCGCCGAATACGTTATCGAGTCAATTCTTTTAAAAGATGCATAAAGTCAACAAGTAATAAGCAAGATATTTCGCAACAATACACTAATCAAATCAAATCTCAACCAACCTATCAAATCACATTGCAAAAGCGAAGGCTTCTAAAGGGAGAAGAAGTCAAAATAGGTTTTAATGATAAAGCGTCTCAACAACTTTTTCTTATACACATTCGGGAAGCTCTAAAAGAAAATAGGTGCCTTAATTCGCATCGATTAAATCGCCATGCTAAAACAAAATGTGATAAAAGCACAAATTCACAAACGACCTCCGATATCAACGAAATTGATAGATTTATGACGGAGAATCAAGTTTACGAAAAACATGGCTGGAGTGGTAAATTATTTAATCGTTATTAATTGAAATTTTAAACAATTATTTTCCATTTTCTCATATTCAGCTATTAAAATTCGTGTACTACAAACTGAATTGTCTCAACGCCTTCAATTAAAGGGCATCTACTTACTGGAAATTAAGGACTGCGATATGTGTCTCTTAGATTATATTTCAACAGCTGAGATCAACAGATGGCCTTTCAAGTATATACGGAGGTAGATTTTTGTTCTATTAAGCGATTTACTATTTGATATTGATATTCTTTATGATAAAATTTGTGTTTTATTTGAATGAATTAATTTCTCAATCTTACTCAAACTATAAACTTTAATGCAGTCTCTCTTGAGACTTATTTTGTTCATAATTGTTGTTGAATTTTGGAGCAATTTATTGGAAGTTGATCGAACTGTCGATGTTCGGTACTGAATCATGATTTATTAGGACATACTTTATTCACTAGTGGGCGGTGATGGTAATTAGATTTTAAGAATGGAAGAGCAATTAATTAACTTATACTGGGTCAGGTTCATGTTCTAACCCAAAGTAACTTCTTTTTTCTGGCCGAGTTGGTCTAACAGAATCCAGTACCTTTTCCCAAAATAGAGGAACAAGGTGCTGAATTCACGAGTGGTGTATTGAAATTTTGGAGGATTTCTGATTGTCATCACGGAGTACAGAGTGAAGAAATAAGAATAGGTGTGCATGGATTAAGACATAGTGGTAGTGAGAATCTTAACGACTTGCGAGAAAGTTAAACTGAATCGACAGATTAATGAGTGGTTGCGCTCTAACAATAGTGATATTCCACCTCTAGCGTTGTGGAAGGCGGCTCATTCCCAATCCACTGTGAGATATTAGCCCCTGTCGATTGAATGCATTGGTTAAGCGCTAGGAGGTTCTTGCCTATCTCGAAAAAAATTCTATTAACAACGTGAGAGAATTATATCAGAGTAAAGATTGCTCTCTACTATACCTTACGGGAACTGAACTTTGACATCATCAATTCAGTCGAACACTTAAGTACATATTTCTGCTTTGATATATTGATACACCAAAAAGATTTTATGTTTGAAAGAACAGCTTCAATATTTTGACTTTGTATGGATTTAAACTGTTACCAAAATTGATTTTGCCATCTAACTGGGTTTTATTTAACCAAAAGATATCACATATTTCAATTTTATTAAGGAAATTTCTTTTGATGTTAACAATTGATTGTATAAAATAGGAAGATTTAATCGAATTATCTTTTTCCAATTCTATGCTCCCTTTATCTGGCATAAGCAAATTGCAACTTCTAAGCGTGGGTGAAATCGTTGTATGTAGGTTTCCACGAAATTGTCTCCTTATTTACATAATCCAGAAGGACAGTTCTTCTGAAACCCCTCCCCCTCCCCCTCCCCCGCCTACCTCAACCACCATTTTCATTCATTCCGATATGCAAATCTCTCGGTCCCGTGCAAATCAGGCGAATCTTATTCCTTACATCAGTGTATGTTACTCATTTTTGTCGAACTCACTAACTCCGTAAATCTGCTACTAATAGGGAGAATATGAGTCACTTTCTGATGCCAGACCAAGCATAAGTAATTTGTACTAATAAATTAATTTTCATCTATCTTTGTCGGACTGTTTCCTATAGATACGTTTGAACAATAGCAAAACAACGAAGCTATGATCTCAAGTATATCACTATCTTTTACTACTACTTAGCAAAGTTCATGGAGTTATTTACATATCGGTCATAGCTTTATACCTACCAGGTAAAAATTATCATCATATCATAATTTTTACCATACTATACGTACTGGAAGACAGAGATCAGTAAAATAGTCTGAAATTGCGGTCAAGACATCAAAATTATCATATTCCATCAGATCCATTTACTAATTTGATTGACTGAGCCTTTCTTATCTAATGGGCATATTCAAATTTCTTTAAGTAGAACTGTCGGCTTTAGATGCTTGGGTGGATTTATGAGCTAATTGAACTGGTAATTAGATAGAAAGTGTTGCTGTATGATCAAGATAAGTTCAAATTTTACAAAAGAGTAGTTAGTGGTTACTTATCAAGATACACTTAATCTTGTCGAGTTAACAAGGGTTTATTCAATCTTTAAACCCCTCTTTGTGCCTTTGGAAATACTACTAATCAGCAGTAAGATGAATATACTTGATCCAATATTATTTTTTGACCCAAGTCCCCATTTGCCCATTTCTTATAGTTTTGGCTTCAATGGACAACACCTTTACATTCTAACTGGAAGTCAATGTATTGGTGGGCGAGGGCTGCTTATTTTCGAGAGTGAAAAATGTGAAGATCTAATGAATAGAATGATTTGTATGATGAAGAGTATAGCTGGAGAGAGTGAGTCAACAACGGAAAATACGCCATCTCCTCAAATTTCTCAAAGTAATTCAAAATTGGTTCAACCATTACTAAAATCGGATTCAGGAAGCACACTCCGCAATGCCCCACCAACTCCAACTAAAAAATCAATGCAAGATCTAAGTGCTAGTCTGCAGGACTTCTGTCGAACTCACTGTTGCAGTCTTCCGCCTCTACGAGGTCGTAGTGAAGTTCAAAGTGCTGAGGTGGTTGGAGGAACCGAACATGAAACGCTTGTTGGATCTCAGGCTCAAGGGCTAGAGTCATCACGTGCTGTTTCCGACGACAACCTCAGCTTAGATGACGATCACGAAGATCGTCACAAAGAAAATGAGGAGAAGCTTTCATTTACTGTGGGAATTACTGAAAATCTTTGCAGTAATTTGAATGGACATGGGAATAACTCACCAACTAACGGTGACTCTTCAAAGGAATTACGAAAAATGACCTTACGAACGTGAGTTTAAGTTTTTAAGCCATATTACTTAATACATATAAGTAAAACCGTTTTTATTTTATCGCCAGTTCGAGTTTAAAGAAGAGTATTTCGGAATTTATTGCTCACAGTATGGCTAGAATGGAATCACTTAAGCCACCTCCACCACCTCCCCTACTACATAACTCAACAGATCACAAGGATACTTCAAATTCACCACAAAATGGAGATCGATTTCCATTACCACCTGAACCACGATTGGAAGACTTGAGAACGCAGAGTTTAACTGAGACGCACAATCTAGGTGGAAATAATGGGTATGACTCGGGCCTTCAAGGAGAACAGAGACAATCGAGACGAGCGGAGTCAGCGAAAGCTGTGCAGCTGATAAAGTGGCGTGATTTGCCGGGTAAAGAAGATTACTATGGGGCTACAAATAATCGATTAATGCTAGGAACGCCGAATAGTAATAGTGTATCAGATAACCGAGGCAGTGATCTTGTTCAATCGGCAGACGATCAGCCTACAGAGTCACCTTCAATGCGAGAGGAGAATTCACTTAAATCGTCAACTAGTACAACAAGAGAACATCAACTTACTGCAGCCCTGAAATCGGATATGATTGCATTTACGTCTTTCTAAGTTGACTCACAATGTGTCTACTTTTAGTCATGATTATGTCTACATTTTTTAATCAAATATCTCTAATGTTTCGAAATTTAACCATAGAAATTTGGCCTTTTTCACTGCAAATTTCGCATTTTGATTATTCTTTTCAGTGTAATGATTCTCTCCTTCATTTATTAAAATATCTTAGCCGAAATCATTGCTGAAATGTTTTTTGCCAATGATTTTTAAAGAGGACAAATCGTGAGTGGAGGAAGACAGAAGAGTTGATGTTTACGCGTCGAAAGTCGTCCTCTTTGAGATGTCAGCGACTAGTAACTGATGGTTCTTATCATTTTGAATGGTAGCTGCCCAAATAGTGCGGATACATTACGTTATTTGGTTCGGCAATATTCGGAGCAATGGGAAACCAACTCTGACGGTCTAATTGGTTAAATTTCTCTTTTCTTTCCAACTAGCATTAGAGTGTTGTTGAGTTTAACAATAACTTGGAGTTTCGAAATGCTCCTTGAGCCGAATGAACTATTGTGTTAGGCACTTCGTTGGAAGGCGGAATATGTATATCCTAAATGGGCCTAATAAGTTGAGTGGAACAATATTGTCTATTACTTGCAATAATAATTGAATCTTTTTCCTTCAAACTATTTAAGAGCATGCTGTGGGCGATGTTACCTTTTATGAAGAAATGAAAATTAAGTAAAGAATACTGAATGTCTAAACGTTTGTTGATCAAAAAAACCCCCTCCCCAAATGTGATATTCATAGATCACATAGTAGTTTGATAGTCTGTTTTACTGTATAGTATTGTAATGTTTGGCTGACGCATTGAATCTTCTTGCAACTGCAATTCCTGTTACCTGAGAATTAGCCAAGGACCAAAGTTAGATATCTAGCTGCAATCACACCACCAAAAACTCCGAGCAAATTTAGGTAACTACTATTTTCACCGACAATAACAGTTATGGCTTACAGAAATTTTCGTGGAGTCAGACCTCTTTCTAAACCAACGGAGTGTTTATTCTTCCAGCAGCAAATTTAGCTATGCATAACCATTGGTTATTTTGACCTGAGCTATTTAAACTTCATTTCTGATCTCCTCCTTTCTTCCACTAGTTCTACGCTCTTCACGTCTCTTTTGGGTTAAGTCATTCCTATACTTTCTTTGGTCCTGCACACACACACGCCGTATACTGAAGAGTGGCCTTTTTGATCCGGTTGAAACTGAATGTGCTCGATGTTTTTTACCAGGAATGCCATACTATTAGTTGAAAACTCAATTCCCTAACTTTTAGTTTATTGGTTCCTCGGGTAGCCACTTGAACTCATTTAGTGCACGACGACGGACTTTCTCAAGAGGGCGAAGCGAAATAGCCTTCTGATAATAAACTGCTACTTTGCTAGGTTGGGTAACGGTAGATTAGTGGGAAACTGTTATTTAACCAGTGAAAAGTGTTTACATTTACTCATTTTTTAATCACGACTTTCAAATGATGGAGCTGCTGATGGAACGGGCTATAACGTGATTCGAGATTTTTAGTTAAGAATAAAAATTAGTGAAAATAAAAATTAAGATGTTAGAGCATGAAGTATGAAAAAACTCTGAATGAACGGCCTTCTAGAACCTTAGCGTTGACCTTTAAATGAGCTTAAATTAAATTAGAGCAGTAAATTTAGTGCTCCTACTGAATAATGAGCATTTTACTCAGTTCTCTGTCTAACAACGCAATGCAAACAAAAATTCAAAAAGCATAAAGTATCTCAAGGCATGTCTTCCCCACGTTCAGTTTGACAACTCCCCCCGTATAATGTTAATATTTCAATGATGCGGAGGCGTGATTTCACTTTTGGGAAAGAGTTCAAGTAACTTCCAACCAACGGTGTGCAATAGACTTATCTCCATGTGATGCACACTGGTCAACGTATACTCATATGGTAAAAAAAGTTTATTATTCGGCCGTTGACTTCTGACTTCAAGCAACCACGACCCGACTGTTTGACATATTCGACCCCTTCCACAATACTCACCTTTTTCTCAACCATTGTGTCTGTCCCTTTTACATCTGTGAATCACTTTTCTGTTCTCCCCCCC